CCTAGACAAACAGAGATTAATTCGATGGAATCCAGAGTTACTCTGGAAGAATTAATGAAAAAGGATCAGGAAATTAAGCTCCTGAAAAAGGCCAAATTGAAAAATACCACAGTGAAAGGAAAAGTCAGAGAGTTGGTTCGTTATGGTGAACAGATGAAAATATCTGGCGAGTCAATAGACTCACATATTTTAGCCGAGTTTGGACTGCACGGAGGTAGGAAATTAGCTAAGACCCTTGAAGGGTTAATACCTACTAATAAAGATGAAGTCGAACAGGAACGATTTGAGGAGAAATGGCGAACAGTAGGCTCTTTAACAGCCTGTCAGGAAATAGCTAAAAAAGGCGTCGAGGGGATCTTGAAACATATTTTTCAGGGAGTAAAAAGAAATGCTCTGGTGGGGGCAAAAGAATTTCTCCTTTATGGTCCGGAGACTTCTCCAGAAGAATTAGAGAAGGCTTTAATTCAATATGACAGGAAAACTGAAATAATTCAGACAGACAGAGAAAAATCAAATAATAAACCACCGCGGCAAAAGGACGCGGTCAAGCCGCGAAAGAAGGCCATATAATCGCCATGAGAGGGAGAGCAGACCCTTCCCTCGCACAGAGTGCAGAGCAGATGAAAAATGGAAAAAAGTGCCAGAGAGGGGAGAAAGAAACAGCCCTAAAAATGCATCGCAGGGAGAACAAATATTTAGGGATCAGTCGAGACCTAGAACAAATCGAAATGATAGTAGTAGGGAAAAAGGGAATTACATAAGTCCCGAAAAATGGAACAAATTGAGTGCAGAAGAAAGAGCACGGATCATAGCAGAAAGAGGAAAAAGCAGGCCTGAGGCTAAAATAGGCAGAGTCAAACTACGAGACAAGCAGGAAAGAGCCCCTGCAGAGACAGAGGAAGTGCAAATCAAAAGAAAGAGAAACAGAAAGAAAGACGCTGAGGTTAAAGAGGAATAGCAGGTTTCGGCTCCCCTAAAGAAAGCTCTATTAAGAATGAAATAAATTAATCAAAGATTATACAAGACATATGATGACACTACTTTTAGAATTGATACGGGAGCTGATCACAGCGTTATTAAACCCACAGAAATTTTAAAGAAGTAATTACAGTAGAAGATTTTGAAGGAAATTCCAGAAATAAAGATGTTTGGAGGAAAAATAAAATAAATGTAGTTCATGGAAGTGAAAATCTCATGTGCCCGGATGATTTAATCAAAATTGGCAGGATCTGAGTTGTTCATCAAAATAAAGAAATAGAAAGGATAGTAAGAGAATCAGAATTGAGCAATAAAGGGGAGCTGGAAAAGATTCTGAGAAAATATATGAGCAGTTATTCAGGGAGC